CTCTAGGGTTCATCTCCCCCCCACACACAACACACACACCGAGCAGTCTCTGAACCCGTCCCTCTTCCTTCCACACAGGCTTTGAAAGTTGCCTCCGAGTCCCACGTCCTGGGCGCGCGGGTCCTATGGGTCCCACCCTAAGTCTTCATCCGTCTTCCATCTTCGGTGCGCAGCCTCGGCCCGCACAGGAAAAAAAATAAAAGACAAGTCCCTAGCTTCCCGTCCCACCTCGCCTGTCCTCTGCGCGTGCTGGGTTTGGGTGTGTCAGGTGGCTTGTGCAGGGAACCCCTATGCGTGGGCACAAGGTAGAGGTGTGTCCCTTGGGGAACGGGGACCGAACCCCGCATTCCTAATTCCAGAAGGGCATCGGTGCTGAGGAGTTTTCCCTAGACTTCACATCCCCCCACGGAAAAATCATCTCAGCGGCCCGCGGGTGGGGTGCGCCACGCGGTGAGTAATCGCTGCAACAACGGCCGCCGCCCGCCAATTTCAGGTAAGCCGGGCAGCCGCAAGCGATGCATAGTTTTCTCCGACTGAGCGCCCAGTTCTTTCTCTGGGTTATTTTTGTTGGCCACTGTTTGGGGTTTAGGAACCCCTCCGTGGCCAACCAGCCCTGGCATCTCATCTTCATCTCTTCTTCTACACCCTATCCGGATGCCCATGAAGAGAAGGGAGGAACCTGACCTGTAAGGTCTCTGTGGTGAAGTGGCGCTTGAAATCGAGTTCCCTGGTGGGTAACAGCCCCCAACTACAGCTCCCCGAAAGTAAAGGGGACTCTGCCCATCTAGCGGTTTCTTTGGAGGCATAACTCCTTCCTGAAAGGTCCTCCAAACAGCCTCAAATGAAAAAGAGGGAAATACAAACTACAGAAGCCACTGCCACTTTTCTGGGGGCAGCCAGGCCTCTTGTACCTCAGTTGTTCTTTTGTAGTGGATAATTTGGGGACAACTATGGGAAGAAGCAAATACGGAAGAAATTCCAAAACTAACTTAAACTCTGATGAGCATAGTAGGTTGACTGCATGTCCTTTCTGAGAAATGTGGCCAAGTGGCCTAGAGTGTTTTGTGGAGGTAGCGAGTCTTGGCCACATTTCCAGGATCATGGCCGCCCCTCCTCCACAGCGCCTGCCCCACTCCAGTTCCCCTGGGTAGGTAGGGAGGCGGGAACCTCGGCTTCAGGGAGGCTTTGGGAGCAAATAACTTTATTTTTCCTGAATGCTCCTCCCCTGGTCCCGGGTGGAATGGGCTAGCTCCCCCCCCCCCCACCGTGTGCCCAAGTGCTGCAGGCAGCGACCTGGGACTTGAGTGACTGAGCGCTTTTCCCTCAGCAATCCTGTTGGTTCTGGTTCCAAAACACACCCCCTTTTGAGATTCTGAGCCCCCTCCCCATTCCTGGTCCAGGCCTTTCATCCTCCCTGGGATGCTGAGAGAGCCTCCCTCCTGTCTTTGTTTTAACTATAGGCAGAGGGGCCTCTGAGAGGATCGAGACCCAGTTCTACCCTGCCTCATCATCTTCACCAGCTGCTCTTCTCCAGTCTCCTATCTGTTTGGGCTAAGGCCTGGCTCTTTGTGATCTTGGGAAGACTTCTGGAAAGCCTTCCATTGTGACTGTCTTGACTCCCTACTTGACTGTCTTTGCAGCATAGGCCATCAAAATGCGTGCTCTGTAGTCACATATTTGAGTCCTGAATACCTGAAGGCCCCCAGACACCATGCTGGGCCCAGTGAGAGCTAGGAAACTTCGAATAAATAGAAAAATGTTTTTAAAGTCATAAAAGAATCCTGACTCTCCAAGTAGCCAGAAAAGAGCCTCAGCAAAAGAGCCTCAGAGTAGGCCAAGCACACTTGCTTTGCTATGACCCAAGCTGTCACACATCCCGCTCTGATCTTTCACCTAAGACCTCTGGATGACCTTACCTTTTGGGCCAAGGGAGTACCTGCTCCCTGTCCTCAAGCTCCCATGGAATTAACTCTTTCCTTCCCAGTGCAGCCCTCTGCTTAGAAAAGGAAGGTAGACCTGGTGTACCTTCTGACAAATATTGACCTAAGTCATTGAAGGTGGCTGGGAATGTAAGAAGCAGTGGCTGGAAGGGCTCTTTATTAGTTCTGAACTCTTCACCCAGGGGTCTCCTGTAGAAAAGCAAGGCAGGTTTCAATCAGGTTGATTCCTCCAGCCTTGGATTCCCAGATGAAAACCACTCAAGGCAACACGATCAGTGGAAACCAAAGCCTGTCTGACTCCTCAGTCAGGGCAGAGCTAGGGCCTTTCCTCCAGGATCACCTCACCCTCCAGCCTGTACCTGGCTGTGCTCTGAGTAATGGGGTAGTGAACATCTGATTCCCTGGTTTGGGGTCTGTGGATACCCCAGGCTTTTTCCCTCCATCCTGGTCCTCAGCCTAGACACTGGGGATACCACACCTCAATTTTATTGTGTGTGCTACAACTTAAGTACTAGAGATTGATATGAGGAGTTCCTAGCCTGGGTTTATGAGCTCTGGGGCCACCAAGCTAGGGTCCTTGTCCCTCTACATCCTCGTGAGGCTGGTGCTGTGCCCCAGAATGGTTAGCGGTCTGGGGGAGCATCGCACCCCCTCCCATAGCTTCCCCCGTGTCAGCAAGCCGCGGCGCCACCCAGCCTTACCCGGCCTGGGGGTGGGGGTCAGTAGGGTCGTGCTGAGGGCGGTTAGGGACAAAGGGCGCTTGTCTGCGGCCCGCCCTGACCCGGGTAGCTGCTTCCCGGACGCCGGGAGTACGCTGATTCACGCGGACAGCGCCCCCCCCCGCCCCCGGCCTCGCCGCCCCGGGGGGTAGGAAGTGGGGGGATGCGGGGCGGCGGCGAGTCAACTTTCCCTCTTAAGCCCCGAAGGAATGTCGGCGGATTTCCTGAAATCCGACCCTGGCCGCCCGCCGGCCGCCCGCCCCTCACCTGGACCAGCTCCCCCGGGAACCACAGGAGGGGCAACCGGTCTCACCTGGGGGGCCGGGGTTAAGTCCTCTTCCGTTTCCCCCCAGCGGCCTCGAATGGAAGGGGGGGGCCTGGAAGCAACAACTACTTTCATCCCTGGGGCGCACGCTCCAAACTGCGACCTAATCTTGATGCCTCAGTTTCTACATTTATAAAAAGTACGGGATGTTGTTTTGCACATTTATCGATGCCCCCCCCAAGTCTTATGCAGACCAAATCAGCCTCAAATTTTTGGTCATCCTCGTGCAGCTTCTCTCTTGCGTTCTGTCACCGAGGCCCATCCCCTGTACCATGCAAAGTTCTAATGACCTAATTTGGAAGGGAGACAACCCCACCCTATAGGGTTTCTGCAAGGAAAAAAGAATTGTAGCAAGAAAATCGTTGTTGAAAGGAGTGTTTGCTTGAAATGACTGAAGGACCATAATTGCGGAAGGGTTAAGTGCCCAGGACTCTACAAATGACAAGCGTGAACTTGAATTTCGGCTCTGCCCAAACGTCCGTATGCCAGGTTTCCCACCTGTATTGTACATAGGGAAAACAGGCTTTGTGTTTAGTCTATTGAGCTAGGGTCTCACTCTGTGGACCAGACTGACTTAGGACTCACTTTGTAGGTCAGATTGGCCTTGACCTCGCAGCGATCCTCCTGCCTCAGCCTTTCTGCGTGCTGGGATGATAAGCATGCACCACGGCATACAGTTTGGGGAGTTAGTTGGACTCCCAGCGCGCAGAGACTGCCCGGGGTGCGCTGGTGGGAGGGAGGCCCAGCCCGGGAGGGGCGGGGGAGAGGCCGCGCCGGGATCCAGATGTTCAAGTCCGCCAGGCACAGCCGCGCCTGATTAAGCCACGTGGGGGCCGGCCGGGGCCGCCGAGATGAAAGCAAGAGGCCGGCGAGGACCGGAGCGCGCCAGCCCCTCCTCCCGGCCGGAACCTGCGGCTCCCTGTGACCCGACGACTCTACGAGCCTCCTGGTCTGCTGGGGCGGAGCCACCAGGCTCGCGGGCCGCTGGCACCTGTACCAAAGAGGCCAGTGGGGCTTAGAGTCCCAGACTTGGCTCCTGGAGAAAGGAAGCTCGGGAGACCTCCGAATCCAAGACAGAAGCCAGTGTCCCTGTTTGCCTCAGTTTCCATCAGACTGAAGAGTGAACGGCCCAGAGGCGTTTGCTCATTAGGGTGGTGGGGATCTCCGAGTCCCAGGGAGACACTAGTTTCCCTCAAGTCTGTTTCTGTGCTGGAATGGAAGGAGGCCGCCCTAGTGTTGAGCCCTGAAGGCCACCGAGGACTTCCTGGAGGAGGCAGCTGCCCGGAAGGTATCTCCCTAAGAGTCTTAATGTCTCAGAAGCAGGCAGACAGTGTCTCGTTGTCTGCTGGGTTCCGAGCCTCCTGTGTTTCAAATCCACTCTGGCTCCAGCCCTAAGGTCCTCCTGTCTTCGTCCCCCCCTCCCAGCCCCCGAGCGCCTCCCTTCTCCTTCCCACTTCCTTTCCCTCCATTTGAAGTCTTTGTCTTACTCCTCCTAGTCCTCAACGACTTCATGGTCCCCCTCCTCCCTCACTGTCTTTCTTTGCTCCTTCCATCTTCACCTCTCCCCTCCCCCATCTTTCAGTCCCGTCCCCTTCTCATTCTGCCTCCTCCCCCATTTTCCTTTTACTTCCTCCCATCTTTCTAGGCCTTCAACCTCTTCATCCTTCTGGTCTCCCCCCCTCTTCCCTTCACCTTCTTCTTGATTAATCTACTCCCCCTTCCCCATTTAATCCCTTGATTAAGGATCCTGTCAGCCCCCTGGCCTGGTTGTTTTTGGCCTCCATCCCTGGGGTTGCCTGAGTGTCACCCTGTCTGGCCAGGCCCTCCTTGGTATCCCTGTTCGACAGGTCAAAGTCCAGGCAGAGACGCCAGATCATGAGCATCAAGGTGTTCCAGGCTAGGGTGAGGATTCACCTGCCCGCCCCGCTCGCCGCAGCCCCCCCTTTCCCAGGCTGCCTCGCTCAGTGACGTCAACACCGAGTCCCGCATCCCGTCACCCGCACTCGGGGCCCGCGCTGCGCACGCTCCGCCATGGCTGTGGTAGCATTGCCGCTCCTGTTGCTGCTGTTGTTGGCGTCGCCGGCTGCCCCAGCGCCAGCGCGCGACCCCTTCGCCCCGCAGCTCGGGAACACGCAAAGGTGCCAGCAGCGGTGTCGCCAGCGCCATCCAGGCCCGCCACCCGTTCAGGTAAGAGACCGTGCGCCCGGGGAACTCGGTCCCTGGAAACGGGGAGTGGCTTGAGTGGCGGACCCTCGGGTGGGGGAGGGGATGCGAGTCCTTGGTGTGCTGGAGGCTGGGGTCCCTGGAAGGGGGAGAGGTCTGGATGGGGAAACCTCCGGTGTGGGAGAGGTTCTTGCAAGAAGACACCTCAGATGGTGGGTCCTTAAGTAGGGGAGGGGTGCGAGAACCTTGAATAGGAGCCAGATAGTCCCTAGAAGTGGTGAGGAGCTTAGATGCAGGCTCTTTGGGATGGGGAGGAGCTGGGGTGCCTGCAATGAAGGTGGCTTGAAGGGGGAGGGGTATCTCAGAACTGTTTTTCCAAGGAGAGCCGAATTGCCACCTCGGATGAACACTGTGTTTGTGTAGGGGTGACATGCCAAGGGGAGGCTGAGACCTGCTTCTAGGAAGCTGTGGTGCTCATCCCTCCACTAGTGTACAAGGATTAATGTGTGTCCCGTCCCCATCACCCCCTTCTCTCCTTTCCACACCTTTGAGTCAGTTCTGCTCCAATCTGTCCCCAAAAGTACAATTCTAGGCATCTATCTGAGAAGCCCTCCCTCTCAGCCTCTACCCTGAAGACCTCTGGGGTCCACTCCTACCAGGGCCTTCACAATCCAGTCTGCTTAGAAAGCCAGTTTCTGTTTCTCAGAGTCATCCTCCTTCACATGCCTACCTAACCCTCACAACCTCACTTCAGCCTGGATTTTTAGGAGACTCCAGCCTACTTCCCTAAGGCTCTTTGCCTGAGTCCCTATCTCCCTTCCCAGCCTGAGCCAGAGGGCCCCTCAGATTCCTTTAATAACAAGGTGGTCCTCATCAGTGCTTGTGAGCGCGGCTGTCGCCTTTTCTCCATCTGCCGGTTTGTGGCCAGAAGCTCTAGGACCAATGCCACAGAGACAGAATGCGAAGCAGGTAAGTCCTCAAAGGCTGGGTGCACCTGGGGCTGTGGCAGAGGTACCCTGGGAAGTCTCCCCAGAGACTCCATCTTTTGGCCCACAGCCTGCACTGAGGCTTACGTGAAGGCTACAGAGCAACGGGCCTGCAGCGAGGGATGCTGGGGCCAGAGCCCTGAACCTGAGACCCAACTGGAGCAGAAGGTAAAACTGACATCTCAAAAGCAGACAAGACTGTGTAGCTTCTTCCCCTTGAGGGCCTCAGAATGCCCAGCTAACTCACCGGAGGGCAGGGGTCTCTGCTGGACACTAAACTTGTACATCCCAAACTATTAGTCTAATTCCACTTGGCAGTTGCCCAACATGCGTCTGTTGATATTTCTGTCTTGGGTCTCCCCTTCCCAGAAAACGGCACAGCCCAGTGGGTCTCTGTCCCTGCTGGAATTATTTTCTACACTCTGCAGCGACCTCATGAGTTCCGCCCAGGGCTTTGTGTCCTCCACCTGGACATACTCCCTTCAGACAGACAACCGGAAGGTGGTGGTGTTCCAGGTAAGACAGTTGTGACAGGGTGACTGTCCACTAGTCACCTCCTGGCATGTGAAAATCCTGGTGACACCTAGGAACTCTGTTCTTACCATACTGTTCATGTAGGTCCTATCGACAGAATCCTGGTTGTCAGTGTGGGCAGCTAGCACCTGTACTAATGAGCCATCTTACCTGCCCTCCATTTGGGGTTTCACCTGAATAGGGGTTTATTCTGGTTCCTACTGGTTGGGTCACAAGGCCATCTTAGTTTCTGTTTCCTTGGCCTGGCTATCTTCCTATTCCTGGAGGTTGTCAAAGAGCTTAAGGCCCATGGGGCTGTGTTCTCCTGCTTGACCCCCTAGGAGATGTGGGGCTACCTAGACACCTGAATAAGGAACTCCAGCCCAGTTGGGTCTGAGAGGCACCTGCTGGGACTCAGGTTATCTTTCTGTAACATCTCATTCCCTGCTCAGACCCAACCTGTGGTAGAGAGCTTTGCACTCCAAGGCAGCCGCCTACATCAAGTGGAGATGACCTGGAGGGGGTCCCACCCCGAGGCCCTGGAGGTGCACATGGGTAAGATTGCAAAAGTTTCATGACCAGTCTCTTGGGCTCCACAGTCTCCCAAGATTCCTAGTCAACCTCCAGGTTCTATAGTTCATCTTTCAGGATCCCTTGCAACTCCACTCTAGCCCTATACATCCTCTTGCCCAAGTCCTGGCCTCCCTTTTCCACTCCTTACCAGGTGAGTTGAGTGCCCTCTCACCTTCTAGACCCCCTAGGCCTTTTGGACAAAGGGAGAGCTAAGACCCGAGCGAAGACCAGCAAAGTCAGCGTGGAGTCTGAGGACCAACAAGAGAATGACCTGCTCAGCTGCATGTCCCGGTGGGTGCCTGTTGGTGAGGCAGGGGTGGTCTGGGTGTGGCTGTGCCTGTGTGAGGTCAGACAGCTGAGCAGTGCCTACCTTTGGGACAGGCGCTCTGGGTTACCTCGGTGGGTCTTGTTCTGCTGTCTCTTCCTATCCATCCTGGTTATGCTGTGGCTGAGTTGCTGTACCCTGGTCACCACACCTGGCCAGCACCTCAAGTTCCAGGTGAGCAGTACCTGGGGACTTGGGACTTGGTTGTGGGGCAGGAAGCCTAGGGCTGCCTGCTGGGGAATCCTGCTTGCCTTGGTAAGCCAGACAAGGGACTTTTGCCCTGATTCCTACAGCCACTGACTGTGGAGCAACATAAGGGTCTCCTGGTGGAGTCAGACTGGCCTTTGTACCCTCCCACGCCAACTGTCTATGAGGACAGCCCCCCGCCCTACAAGTTGAAGCTAGATTTGACAACGCTGTAATCTTCAGCCTGTTTCTAAGTGCAAGGGGTCCCTCCACATTTGTTCACTCTGCACCCGGAAGTCCAAGGTTAGGGTGGGGACCAGACTTGGCCTCACTCTCCCCCACCCTCCTTCCCTCTCTTGCCAGCATACCCTTCAGTTCCCTTGAGACAGGGGACCTGACTGGCTGGGGAGGGTGGGATTTGGCCTCTCTGCCCCTACCACCTTGCTTTCTTTGGGGCTGGCTTTTTGGCTTTTCTCACATGCTCTGGCTATGAACTTGGTCTGTGTTGCCTTTCTTTTTCTTTCTCTGTGTCCTCACTTGGGGGCTGAGGTCTCAGGGGTTCCCATCTGCTAAAGCTCTTTTCCCTTTATCTCTGGAGACCCAGCCCCGCAAAAGGGAATGGTGGGAACTCCCTTCTGGGAAATAAGGATGAGTAAACCTTTAAATAAAGTGAATGAAAGATAGGATGTTGAGCCTGCTTCAATCTGTGTCTGCCCTAGGGAATTGGGTTGAGCAGAGAGATGGGAGAAACTTCCACCTCAGCCATGTTCCAGCCCTTCATTAGGGGATCCTAGGCAGGGCTCTACACCAGCCACACCCCCAGCCCCTTACTGGGGAATTCTAGGCTATCAGTCTTACAAACATTGAGTCATAACCCCTGCTATATTATATTGCTTTTTTTTTTTTTTGTTATTGTTTGTGTTTTAGTTATGTAGTTCAAGCTGGCTTAGAACTGTCAATATTCCCTCCTCATTCTGAGTGCTGAGGTAACTGGGCTGTGCTGTTGTATCCTCTCTCAATGACTTTGAGTGTATCTTCAGCAGCATGAACTATGCACAGGTTGGAGGGGGCCTCACTGGCAAGAGTACTCTATTGACAATCAAAACACCTAGTCATTCCCTAGCACTGGGAAACAATGATTTTTCCTTTCTTCCAAAGTGGCTACTCTAACCAGTTAGCTCAGTTCTAGTCCTCCGGCTTCTCTGACCAAAGGGACCTCTGGGTACCTTTTCCATCCTTCATCCTCATGCTTGTCCCTTCACCTCTTCAGCTTGCTTGGTTTCCATAACACCTTCAGAGCCTCTTTCCCTTACATTCTGGTCCCCTCCAGCTTTTCTCCAGTCCTATCTAGTAAAGAACAAGTTTGATTAGACATGAATGTCTCCTGTATTCTCTTGTCACACAGCACTCCCAAAACCAACTGTATCAGCAAGGTTCCCATGATATGATTTGGGATTATCTCCAGTCAACCCTATGGAGAAGAGGCATCTACCCTGGCTCACTGTAATCTAGCCAGAAGATCACAGGTCTCTCTTTCTGTTGCCCAGGCTGGCTTGAAACTCTTGATACTCCCACCTCCACCTCCCAAGTACTGGGATGACAGGTATGGGTTGCCATGCCTGGTTTGTGAAGTGCTAGGGATAGAATCCTGGGCTTCACATGCATGCAGAACAGATGACCTACTAACAGCACTGGCCCCAGCCCCTTGATCCAATTTGAATCTTATGTTACTTTGAGTCTCTCCTCAGCCATTTCTGACTGCTGCCACCCTGTCCTCAGTATGATAGCTCAGATCAGGGGATTTGCAATACCTCACGAACCCTTGGGACATCTTGGGACTCGAGGCTGCCAGCTGGTTACTAGCCACTGGTTTCTACCAGGAGAGAATGCTATTAGAGCACAGCTGACATTCAGCCTTGTTGCAGCCCTTGAAGCCTCTGTTTCCTCAGTTGTCCCCAAGGTTCTATTTTTTGTCACCTGGTGTGGCATGCAGACCAGGTGGTAGTAGGTTCCTGGCTGGCTCATGGCAAACTGCAGGAACACCCATATATGTCCAGGTAGCAGGGGGTTGCCATGGGAACCAGCATCCTACTTCCCTAGCAACAGAGCAGCCTGGGGGTGACTCTGTTGTCAGGGCTAGGTAGGAAGGGAGCCAGGCTTTGCTGTTCGGCCAACACAACATGGACACCCTGGACACTGAGGGAAGGATAGGTACTCATGGCTTCCTGGAGGGAACAGAGGGCAAAGGTCAGATGCCCATACTAAAGCTACCTCTTGGTCCTCACAAGGGCTATTCCTTATGCCTTGAAGGCTGTTCCCTATGCACTCCTGACAAGTTCTTTGGTCTAAAAGAATCTCCCAAGCCTTTCAACTTTGGCCTGAAACCTGTGTCAAAATGTCTCAACTACAGTTTTTATCATGTTGACAATTAAGCTGCTGCTTAATTGCTTGTTCACTTCTGTGATGATTGGTTTAACAAATGGTCCCTCTGCCAGATGCGACGTGCTGAGTGTCTCCGTCACAGCTGTGTCCCACACACTGAGGAAGCCATTCACAATACATCTTTGTCAACACTCTTTGCTCCGCCTTGTCCCACTGAGCCACTGTGGCCCCATGACTTTTCCTTGAGCTCTTTCTGGCACTTGTTAGGACCGTCTACATCACATCCACCTGGAATGTATTGGAACATTCTGAACTTTTTCTACAATGTAATAAAAATATTCCAATGTTCTGGAACATTTTAGAATATCTTGTCTTCTGCTCTTACTAGCAGGAATGGCATTGTGTCTTTAGGCTATCCTTGACCCAGCTAAAGGACCTGCTTCCTTGGTGTAGCTCTTAACTATCTGGAATGGCCTTTGTTACTGACCACTATGCATGCCATGGGTATTCTGCAATATAATACATTTCACAAATATTCTGGAACTCGGGCAGAGTTTTGTGAGTGTATTTAAATTCTCAACAGTAGCTGTAGCCCCTGTCTTAAAAACAAACAAGTGGACATCTCCTGAGGAATGATACTCAAGCTCAAGGTTGACCCCTGTCATCCAAATACATGGACATGCATGAACATTCCCCATGAACACACACAATAAATGAAAAGGTAAGACAATACAAAATGGATGAACTTGCTTTCCCCTTTTCTTGCAGTGTTGAAATGGCTTTGGGCATGTCAGGTCAAGGCTCCTCATAAAACTACCCAGCAACAGAATCTTTTCCTGTGACAGAACTTGTATCCTCTGTAGTCATGGTCAGGACCCAGCAAAGGAGTTTTTGTAAATAGTTTTCCCATGTCACCCAGAACATTCCAAGGGTCTTTGTAGTTCAACCCTACCAGCTCACCCAGGCAACCCCTTCCCTGGCCTGTCTCCATGGATCAGCAAGGTCTGTTTCTGTGTCACAGGAATAGACACACCGCCTGTACTCAAATTCTATGGCATTTGACTGTTTCACTCTGTGGAGGTCTGAATGGGTGAAGAGGGGCTGTGATCCTTTCTTTTTCCTTGTTACATTGCTGTCCCCTGAGCTCTTCCTGACACCAAACTATGCCCTTCTACCTCATGTCTCCCTGGAACATTGTGGACTCTCCTACAATGCTCTGGAATGTCATCATGTCAAGTGCTGTTGTGTGATTAGGAGCCTCCAGTACACCTGTTGATGATGGTCTTGAGAGGTTTTCATTTTGTGGCGGTTCATTTGTGTTTGTATCTTTTGGTAACAAAAAACCCTGAGGGCTTGGGAAGATTTCTCAATGGACAAAGGCACTTGCCACCAAGACAGAATCTGACTGACCCCTGGAACCTAGATAGATGGTAGAAGAGGAGAACTGACTTTCATATATTCTCTGTGGCAGGCACTCACATATGTGTGCACACGTGCAAATCAATAAAATAATAACCAGCAGCAAATTTCTTAATGAGTGGAGTGTTGGCCTTGTTCCAATTCCCATTAATAGTTCAGAATGTGGCTTCACTTACAAGTGTTTTTTGTTTTATGTTTGTATTTGTTTTTTGTCCCGTGTAATTATGGTCAGATTCAGATAATGTCAAAGTGGACCAGGGTGGGGCATACACCCAAAACTGGACTTTTTTGTATCTATCCATCCATCCATCCATCTACCTTCTTTTATTATTATTTTTTTTTTGAGAAAAAGTTTCTCTGTGTGGCTTTGTAGACCAGGCTGTATATCTATATTCTATCTCTATGTTGAAGAGTGAGGGCACAAGCCACAGTGTGTGTGTGTGTGTGTGTGTGTGTGTGTGTGTGTGTTTGTGTGTAGGACAGAGGACAATTTGCAAGAATCCTCTCCTGTTCATGTGTGTTCCAAAGATCAAACTCAGGTTGCTGGGCTTGGGAGCAGGCACCTGCATCTGCTGCACCATCTGCCTGTCCATTCACTCTTTTTATCTTTCTTGGAAAGAAGCTGCATAAACCAGGCTGGCCTTGCAGTAGCACTTCTCCCCCAGTCTCCAGAATTCTGTGATGATAGGTGTGTGCCACCACAAGCCACCTAAAGCATCTTGTAAAATGAACAAACAAAAAGATGAAGGGGTAGAGATTTCAATAGCTTAGTGCTCTTGCAGAGGATCTAAGTTCAGTTCTCGGCACTCACATGGCAGCTCACACCCATCTGTGACCTTTCCATGTGATCCTGAAGCCACTGAGGCATTTTGAGCCTACTGTCCTGAGAGTGGGTGACACACAGGCGGGGTCCCCAGGCATGCTTTGCTTCTCTCTAGGCTGGGGCTGTGTATCTGACATGGATTGAATCTGGATGAGTGTGAAGTGTGCACACATATGGACAACATTGATTGGGGCAGCATGTATAGAGGGCATGCAAGCTATGGGCCTCTCTGCCAGTGGGGTTGAGCTTGCATACAGCACATTTGGGGCCAGAGTTTTTAAAGCAGCCCTTGTGTGGACAAAAGTTCATCCCCAGAGCATGGAGGACTACAGAGATTGGTACTGTTCACAAGGCAATAGCTGGTGTTTGAACCATAGGTAGCTCAGGCTGATCTTGTTTGCCCTATAGGTATGTTGACCCTGAACTCCTGATCTTAATTCCTCAGCCTCTAAGTGTTGTCTGTGGTGGCAGGAGTGAGCCCCACATTTGCTAGTGTTTACTTTTACGTGAAGGAGCTGCTCTTCCTAGCTGACTGGCTGGAACTCGCTGTATTGGCAAGGCTGCCTCTGCCTACTTGGGGTTTCACAATAGGTCACCAGCTCAGAAGCCTAAAGAATAAACAGGTGAAAGGCTCGAGGGTCCTGGTAGTTACACCCTTTCAGGGCAGAGTCTGGCTCATAGTGATTGCAGTGTCATAAAATCTCCTTTTCAAGAGGCTTTGTACTCCACAGAATCCTAAACAGGAATGGAAGGGAGAGAAGAAGGAAGACAGCCATGTGTGACACATGCACTCAGCAGGAGAGTTCAGGTGCAGCCCAGCCTGGGACACACATTTCTTTTTTAATCTTTATATTATGTGTTTTGCCATGGGTGTCAGATCTCCTGGAACTGAAATTATAGACAGTTGTGAGCAGCCATGTGGATGCTGGGAATTGAACCCAGGACCTCTGGAAGAGCAGACAGTGCTCGTAACCACTGAGCCATCTCTCCAGCCCCTGGGAGACACAGTCTTAACAAAAAAAAAAAAAAAAAAAAAAAAAAAAAAAATTGCTGAGGCATGAGAGTCTAGAATTCTTGAGGCAGGAGGCAGAGGGTATGGAGGCCGCCATGCGTCTTTGGTGTATGAGCAGCAGATACAGGAGAAGAAAGGGTGTTTTGAGAGTTGGGACCTGAGAGCAGAGGTTCTGAATATGCTATATAATCAGAGAGCTGGAGCACAGGATGGGAAGTCACAGAGATGGGGTCGGGCTGGGAATGGTTCTGTAAACTCAGGAACTTTGGTACCCTCTCTCACCAGGTGTGCAATCCTCAGCTACACCCACATCTGTGTATTGCCTGCCCACACTTTACTCGCCTCGCCCTTCACGACTAGACCCATCTTAGGCTAGGGTACGTCCCTAATACCAAGGCCCCTCCCAAATCCCGCCCCTGTTTGCAATCTCCAGACCCTTTCCCCTCATTATGATTAACCATGCACACTGCAACCCGACCAGGTCTCCACCCCACGCCCAGGCCCAGCCTTTCCATCGACCCCGCCTTTCTCCTGTGCCAGACACACCCCTTCAGCAGTGTCAGCTCTGCTCTAATTACAAGACCCCCATTTTCTCTTTTGCCCTGGCACGACTTAAGCACCACCTTAGGCCACTCCCTTCTCAGCCCACGCCCTTCACCATCTTGGGCTACTTTTCTCCTCCAGGGGCGGCTCCAATCCTCCACTCCTCGAATACAGCATAGATCTACCTCCCCAGACAAGCTCCTCAGGCTGCCCTCATCTTACTGACTATGTTGGGAAGTAACACGTCTCCACTTCCTGCATAGGCCATCCCGCCTTTTCTTCCCCAGACCAACCTCCACCCCGCCCTCAAGTCCTTGCCTGCCTTAAACAGGACCTGTCTTCTAAGAGCTTCCAGTCTTTCAGGCCCCGCCCCTCTTCAAGAGACCCTTGGACTCCTCAAGAGACCCTTGGACCATGGCTTCTTCAGCCCTTAACCCCTAAGACCCCTCACCCACGCAGACCCTTCGCTCACTCTCAGGCTCTGCCCATGACTCTTATTGTGACACTCCAAGTTCTTTTTTGTTTGTTTTTGTTTTTAGAGACAGGGTTTCTCTGTGGCTTTGGAGCCTGTCCTGGAACTCGCTCTGTAGACCAGACTGGCCTCGAACTCACAGAGATCCACGTGCCTCTGCCTCCCGAGTGCTGGGATTAATGGCGGGCGCCACCAGCACCAGGCTCAGTTCTTTTTTTTAATATTTTTTTTAATTTTATGTGGATTGGTGTTTTATCTGCATGTATATCTGTGTGAGAGTGTCTGATCCCTGAAACAGAATTGCAGACAGCTGTGAGCTGCCATGTGGTTGCTGGGAATTGAATCCCAGCCTTCTTATTCACTGAGCTATCTCTCCAGCCCTTGCTTCCAGTTCTTAAGCTCCACCTTTCTCACAGGCTCCGCCCCTTAATCGCCTCCTACCGCCTCAGGTCCCGCCCTAGCTCTCTTCAAGCCCCACCTCCTCATGCCCGTCCCCCCCGACTTCCTTAGGCCCTGCCTATTGTTCTCGGACTCCTCCCCTACTCTCATCATGCCCCGCCCCTGAGCCTCAATGCTCCGCCCTAGGCCACGCCCTCTTACCGAGCCCCTCCCTCGTCCTCAGTAGGCCCCGCCTGCTGCCCCGGCCTCGGTCTCCGGGTCGACGCGCGTCTCCGTCGCTCGGGTACGCGACGGAAGATGGCGGAGTCCGGCGGCAGTAGTGGCTCTGGCCAGAGTCCCGAGCGCCCAAGCAGGTGGGTCCCGCGCCTCCGTGAGCACGCACCTCTCGGCCTGGGCGGCGCCGACCTGGGACCGCCAGAGCCTCCGGCTGCCATGGCCCTGAGCAAGCTTGCGGACCTGAAAGCAGGCTGAGACCCGGCTTCTTGGAAGCTGCGGAGCTGGAGGCCGAAGGGGGCCTGGGAAGGTGACGAGCGTGGGAGGCTGCATGAGGACCCCCGGTCCCGGCAGGGGAGCAAGTCGTGCCTGAAGGAGACATTGAAACTACATGGCGACCTCCACAGGCCCCTGATGAACAGGGAGCCGTCTAGGGGCCTGGCAGGGAATCAGATGCCTGGGCACATTGAGGCTAGTTACCTGGGGGCCTGGGAATGCCCAGGAGATACAGGGGCCACTGGGAGACCTCAGCAGGTCCTGATTTGCAGAAAACTGTCTTGGGACCTGGTAGGTGGGCAAGGGGCTTGAGCATGATAGTGGGAACATTGGGGCCACAGTGTCCTGATGACCAGGGAGTCCCAAGGGTTGTGAGAGATGGGGGCGTGGTTTGGGGAATTTGAGCACTGTGAAAGAGGCGAAAGGGTCTTGAGAACATAGAGTCTTTTTTTGAGACCCCTTCCTTTCACCCTCACTGGGTTCAAATCTGTCTCCCTTAAAGAATTGGATTGAAGGTTTTGTCCTCAGATACTGGAGCCACATTCATCCCTTTGGCCAATGGGGCACCCCTTTTCCCTGGTCAACTTCTGAAGAGGGTTCCTTGAACCTGGGAATTTTCATAAAGATGACAGATATCTTTAAATATTTATTTTGGTTTTCCAAGAAAAGGAGTCATATAGCCTAGGCTGGTTTCAAAGTTGCTATGTAGCCGAGGATACTGCCTCAACCCAGTGTCAGGATGACAGCCATATCAACATTCCTGTTTGTGTGGTTTGTGCTTGTGAGGACTGTGCTAAGTCTCACCCCCACCCCACCTCCACTTCTGAGACTGTGCAGTGCCGCTGGCCTTGAACTTGCAAACCTGCTGCAGCACACTGCAGGTGTTTTATACACATTTGTGAACTGATCTGGAATCTGAAAAGAAGAGCATCTGACTTAGGAAGTACTCATACCCTACATTTTCACACTGACCTGGAACCTGCCTTGGGAGGCGGAGGAGGACTTCCAGGCTCGCTTTGGCTTGAGTGTATAGGAGCCAAAATCACTGGTCCATGTGACAGTGGGTAAAGTTGGTCCTCATGTGGGGGCTCTGGGCAGGGAAAGAACTGGCAGTCTGTGGAGCTGAGTTGGCATTGGGTCTGCAGGGTCATTGCTGACTAGGGAAGCCCTGTCACCAAGAGGAGGCATAGGGCTGTTCCCAGAGGTGCTGATTGGCTCCTGGGAGGTTCAGCGTAAGGTCTGGACACAGTCACGGATGCTACACAGGTGCCAGTAACTGCAGAGCAGGGACATCTGCAACCAGGAAAGTGACAGCCACTGTAGAGTAAGAGTAGTGAGGACTGGGAGCCTGCAGTGGGGAGCATGGAGACATTGGGGAATGAATGGGAGGGTGTGTGTCTGTGTCTGTGAGGCCAGAAGACTGAGCCTGATGAGGACCTGTTGCTGTGAGCTGCCCATTGTACCCACAGTGTTGGGAACTCCACCTGGGTCACCTGGAAGAACCTTAACTACTGAGCTGGCTCCAGCCCCTGTTTTTGGGAGGGTGGGGGGGGGTTGAGACACAGTTTCTCTGTGGCTTTAGAGCCTGTCCTGGAACTGACACTGTAGACCAGGCTGGCCTCAAACTCACAGAGATCTACCTGCCTCAAAGGTGTGTGCCACCACCACCCAGTGAGTTTTGTTGTTGTTTGAATCAGGGTCTCACTTTGTAGTCCTCACTGGCCTGATATTTACTATTTAGCACAGGCAGACTTTGAACTCCTGATCTCTTGCCTCCAAAAGTATTGGGATAACAGGTATGCACACTTCACCTAGACTACTTCACTCCTTTCAGTTATTTTTGCTTAATTATTATTTTGATATTTACTTATTTATGTGTATGTTTTGCCTGCATTTGTCTGTTTACCATGTGCATGCCTGGTGTCCTTGGAGGCCAGAAGAAGGTGCTGGATCCCCCGGAACTGGAGTTAAAGGTATTGTGAGCTGCCATGTAGGTGCTGGGAATTGAACTTGGGTCCTCTGTAAGAGCAGACAGTGCTTCACTGAGCCAACTCTCCAGCCTTCTAGTTTACCCTTTTTAAATGAGTATTTTGCATTTTTGAAGTGAGCAGTATGTTAATTTTAATTTATTAGTGTGTGTATCCAACCCCCAAAATCCATGTTTGCTTATTATTTTTAAGTTAACTTTAAATCTTTTTTGATTTTGTGTTTTATTTTTGTTTTTTGAGACTTGTTTCTCTGTGTGATAGTACTGGCTGTCCTGGAACTTGCTCTGTACATCAAGGTAGCCTCAAACTCATAGAGCTCTGCCTGCCTCTGCCTCTGTCTCTGCCTCTGCCTCTGCCTCCTGAGTGCTGGGATGAAAAGCGTGCATCACCACTGCTCAGCCCAGACAGTGTTTTCACAGAGTTCCCAGTTCTAGATGTGTCAAGGCAGGAAGTAGTTGGTTATGCCCATAGCACATGGGCCACTATTGCCCCAGTGGACATGTCCTGCTATCTTTGCATATAGGGTCAATTCTCCTAGGTTGACAGGCTTGTCATCAGCTGCCTTTACCTACTGAGCATTTATTCATTTATCCATGGCAGTTATTCATTTGTTTTTTGTGTATGTGTAGTATATGTGTACATGCCAGGTCAGAGGTCACTGTCAAATGTCTTCCTCTATCCCCCCTTTAGCAGTTTTGCCTCCTGAGCATTGGAATTAAAGGTGTGCAACACCAGTGCCCTGCTTGTGTTGTTTTGTTTGAGACAGGGCTTCCCTGTGTAGTCTTGGCAGTACTAGAACTCACACTGTAGTTCAGATAAATGGTGTGTGCCACTACACCTGGTCTCCCTCATCCATCTTAAAATGTCACTTCCTCTGTCTAGCTCATTTCAGCTTGCTTCCTGTTTCAAGATGCATCTACATTGTGGCATAGATCAGTGTTTCATCCCTTTTCATGATCAAATAATATTCCAGTATGTGGCTAATCACCATTTTATTTATATTGTCGCCACCTGGTGGATGTCTCTGCTTGTTTGTGTGGTGGTTGTCACTGTTTCTAACAAGAGCAGTACTGTCATGATACCTGTAATTTTAGCATTTAGGAAGATTGATTACTTCAAATTTGAGGCCAGCCTGCTCAGGCTTGCTTGAGCTGCAGAGTGAGATACAAAAAGGAAGGAACGGAAGGGAAGGGAAGGGAAATGTGCCATAGGGGGCTGCTCAGTGGTAGAGGCCATGCTTAGCACTCAGGAAGCCCTAGGTTTCATACTAAGTAGCAAACCCAGAAACTAAACTAAGCTAACACCCTGAGTCTAGTCATTTATAGGCAAAGATGTTTGCCTGGCTCCATTCTGCAAGAGCTAGGGATAGTGTCTGTTCTGCCCTTGCGTCTCCCAGTGTCCACTCACAGCATCATTGGAAGTTTATAGCAGCAGAACTGTGGACACACTGTGCCAGACTGCCTCATACGCATTCCTTTTTAGAAGCCCTGCCTGCCATGCAAGATCCACTGAAAGAACACTTTGGTCTCGGTAGGAATAGTCCACATCCTGATCCCAGCTGTGGCTTCAGGTCTGTTTAGTATTTTGCCCAATTGGAGCTAGTCATTGGCATTGTAGACCAGTAGGGCCATGTGCATAATAATGGGGCTGTGTGCACAATAGTGGTGCTCTGTGCAGAATGGTGGGCAAGTGTTCGTGTGGTATCTAGTGACTGGTATGATTTGGTGATTGTTCTCTCTCAAAGGACATTGTGGGCGGCCAGTGTCTGTGCTGGACAACTGTCTTAGAAGCCTGGGACACAGAGTATAGTGTACTTCATTTCTCCAACTTGCAGCCAGGCCACATTCCTCCATGAAATCAGATCTTTTTGGTGAGACACTGACCTTGACTGTGTCCCCATCTCTAGAGCAGTTCTGCAGCCTGTCAGGTCATGCCCTCATCTGCCCATGAAGGATGGTGTCAGCTGGCCATGTTTGAGGTCACATCTGTGTTCCCTACTATGTCATGTTGACAGAGTTCAGGGCCACACTACCCTCACCGCCTCCTCCATTATGTAACTTGTTTGTTCTGATTTCTCTGTTGACTATGGGAGAAGGAGAACCTGGCTTCCCTTTTCTTGTCTCTTGGGAGCAACAAACCCTGTTGCCTAGTGGAGCCTGTCATAATGTCTGAGTTGAAACTCAGTGGATAGCATGGCCACCAAGCTGGTGGCAGGCAGAGAGGAGGCCAAAGCCTGGCCCAGGAAACAAAGAGCACTTGTTTTGAGAGACCTCCTCCCAGATTGAGCCTGGCCAGTTCATCTTTGAGTGAAATGAGGGCTGAGCCTCCAGGGCTGTAAAGATAGGGATGTCACTTGGCCTCTGGCCTCATTTGGAGTGGTAGCCAGAAGGCTTGTCATGGCTCATCGAGCCAGGCTTGTCTAAATGTTCCCTTGATCGTCTCCACTAAAGCCAGGGCTTCTAAGGAGGCTGATTCTTCCCAATGCTAGGAGGATTCTGGAGCTACCATGGCCCCTGCAGAGGGATAGCAATCAAGACAGTGCTACTTCAAAGCCAGACCTTGGCCCTCGGGGTCATGCAGGCATGGGAGGGGCTCATGGGACACACTGCCCATCCTGTCACCTGATTGCTGCTTCTCTACAGGGCTCCCTGGGTGCCTGGGTATTACTCACCACACCCTAGTTAGGCGGGACCAGGAGTGAGGAGCACCTGAAGCACAGCAGTGCTTCAGCATGGTGACTGGGACTGGGGTAAACTGGCTGGCCTCTGTGGTCATCAGGGGGTAGGAGCTGTGCTGAAGCCACACAGGACACATGAAGCTAGACTATGGCAGTCTTTGAGCACCAGGGACAACTTCGTTGCTGTTGGCATGCTTAT